CTGCTACATATTAGCAGCAAACCCTAACAGCTGTAGAGCCATACTCTCTGGGCTGGGATAAAAGACAAAAGACAAAGAAGTAGGATGCAAAGGGCAGCATGGCCTCTTCCCCTACACAGCAGCAATCCCAAGCTGGGCTACGCAGGACAGCAGACGACTCTGCAAAGGGTGAGCAGCACAGATGACGGTAAAGACCCTGATTTTGAGATCTTCAGGTTCCACATGTACACATTCTTCCCTAACAGTCACTCTGCTCTTAAGTTTCTTTTTTCTGCTTCTCCTCTTGTGAAAGATCTTTTATCCCATTTTACAAAGAAAATGCAAACCTCTGACCCACCCTGTAGTAGCTGGTACATTGTTGAAGGCTTGGCTAGAGGGGCTTCCAGATTCCATGCCCTGGGGTGTGGGGGCCCCTCCCTAGGGCGGGGAGGGCCTGCCACATAGTGACACAGCACTTAGAGGCTACACAAAGGGGAATGAGGAAGGATGGTTGGGTCCACTTCCTCGGAGGAGCTTAAATGGAGGAGCTTAAGTCCTCACAGTCAGCTTAGATGTCTCTCTTGGCTTCCAACACAGACTCTTCCTTGGATCCTTCAGCCTTCTGTCGCAGACTCACCAGCCTTCCATCCCTTCCATTGGCTGACTGATACAGACTTGCGCGAACACTGCAGTGAGCTCCAGACCTTGGGCTGAATCCTTCAGTCTCCAGTGTGCAGACACCCTCTCCACACTTCCCCATCTGATCCTGTGGTTGACCACTGTAAGCCAGTCTTGTAATTTCTTATACATTTGTACATCTTGTGTTTTACTTGTTCCTCTATTAAAATCCTGACTGATACACACCCCTACCTTCTTATCAGTATCCTGACACTGCTCCCCCATGTAAAACCCTCAAGAGAAGCGGTCCAATAACTTGAGAAACATAACCTATCTGTGATTGAGGGCAAGAAGACTGGGGCCAAGGAGAAGTCAGTGATAAGTGAAAGTGAGCGTGAAGAGATTCCAAACATTATATTTGCTGCATCTGTGGAAATACAAAGCTATTCCATTTGTACTTGAAGAAGTATGTCTAAAATATGCAAATCTTTTGTAGATGTTCTATATAAAATACTTTATATATACTATATGAATAAAGTGTTGCCTGTTCCCATCTTCCAAGAAAGTCTTTTCATAGTGAAGTCTGGGAAACTACTGGTTAGCAGGAAAGTTTCATATCACCTCACAGAAAATGACATGTCAGGATCCTCTGGGTACAAGCCCTTTCTAGATGAGTCAGGAATCTGCTCAGCCCTGAATGCCCTGCTGAAGAAGACTCCACTGCTGTCTCACATCCTCTGCCTGGTGACTTAGTCTTGAGTACTCTTAGGAAAACTGATACCCAAGACACCTGGCATGCACAGGGCATACCGAAAAGTTTCCAGGGCCTCACAGAGTTCTGACTTCATATTCTAAGGATGGCTGGAAAGGGCTATCCCATCACCTTGAAGAAATGTACATGCTGCTTAGCCTGGCACTACCATGGCAGGAAGCTCCTGCTCCTCCAACCCTCTAGGACTCCCAGAGGCTCCAGGGAGGAGGAACCAGTCATTGAGACCCATCAGCACTGCTTACAGGCAACGGCCAGCAAGGGTGTAAGATGAAGGAATCACGAAGGGTGGCTTCTGAGTGCTGACATCTGCCCTGTCTTCTCCCATCAGCAATGAAATTTTACTCCCAAGAATTTAAAAAGATGTGAAGCGAATGAGTTTCTATTTAGCCACCCTCTAGAACTGCCAGTGTGATACTCCAGTTCAGCTTTAAATGGAAAGCCTGTCCATAGTCATTCAAGTCAGGAGATGACTGATCTGGACAAGCCAGTAAGCACTTTCTCCTCTCAGCTGGAAACCACAAGCAAATACAGAAAGTGCAAAGATTCTGACCTGTGTAAGAAAACTGCAAGCTTCTCCCTTATTGGAATCTGGAGAGAAAAGAACCAGACTTCCCCAACCTTGGACCTGGGTCACTGCGGGAGCTCAGGGCTGAGGCTCTTGAGGTGGCCTTGCAACTGAGATCAGGTAACAGGAGGAGGAAAACCACACATACGTGTGTGTGTGTGTGTGTGTGTGTGTGTGTGTGTGTGTGTGTTAGCACGCTAGTGATGAGAAGCCAGGCAGGAGAATGTCTGGAGGGCGATATGTCTCCACTGAGCTCTGTTAAGGAAGAGCCTTAGAGGCAAGATCTGGGCCCTATCTTTTGAGAGACATTTTCAATTCTTCTTTTACAAAATCCATGCCTTTCTTGCACAGAAATAAGATTTTTTGGATTGAATACCATCCAAACAAATATTACAAAGCCCTTGGCCCTCTGAAAGCCAGGTACATTCCCAATGCATACCCATCCCTCTTGAAAATCTTTAATCCCTTGCTCTCTTAGGCCTATTGAAAAAAGCCCAACAAGGATGCTCAGGCTGCAGGTGGCTTATGGAGACAGGCTCTGCAGAACTGAGCTTCAAGTCAGCAGTACCTCAGAATTATAGAGCAGCATTGTATTCAACTGCTTGTTGCAGAAATTAACTTAGGCTTCACTGTTGAGGAGTTAAGGTAGACAGGATGTACTTCCATCCACACATACTTCTCAGAGCTAAGAGGTTATGTAAGAAGCACTTAGTACAACCCAGCACTGTCTCTGCCAGAGCAGGCAGAGTGGGCACACACCTAGCCCGGAGCTTCTCAGACCCTCTAAGATTCCTCAAGTAGCTTAAAGCAAATTTCAATAGTAAAATTTAGAGAGATTTTAAAAGCAAAACTACCAATCCTGATTGTCTGCTGTATGAACTGAATGCTGCTGCTCTGACCTCAGCAACACAAGTAACACCTGATAAAAATACAACGCGCAGGACATAGACAGTGCCTGGGCTTGCCACTCAGCATTTCTGCTCCCGCTTTCCTGGGGGCAGAGCAGATGCCCAGGAGAGCAGGAAGGCCCAGTTTATCAGCTTCATGTCTACCATCCACATCACCCAAGACCAGGACAGAGATTTTGATGAAGGCGCTCTAATAAACTCTACAGTTGACAACAAATTAATGGCTAAGTATAGTGAACTAAATAAAAGGAGATACTGACATCAAGACAATGGCTCCAAGCTGAGAAAAACCTTGCAGGAATGCCACTGAGGCTGGGAAAGACTCCCTAGAGTTAGGGTGGCGGGCTCCGAAGACTTGTGTGTCCATGTTCCATTAGCTAGGAGGCACTTGAAAATCTCAACAGTCCCTGACCCTCAGACATCTGCGAAACAGACATGGTGCTAGTGGTCCTGCTCACTGCAGCAGGTTCCAGCCCTCCAGGCACAAGCAGAAGGGAACCTTCTAGTAAACCCTGAAATCCAGATACTGAGACTAAATGCTCTCTGCTCTCCCAAAAAGTCCTCATTCCATGGAGTTTTCTGTGTGCAGAGATAGGTCTTGGAGCAATGACAGCTGATCATGTCACCAAAGGAAGAGGCCAGAGACCAACAGGTTTTCAAAGTCTGGGCTCATTGCACAGCAGCTATGTGTATAGGTCAACAATTCCTTCATCTGAAACCTTTGGGGCCAGATGAGTTTCAGAATTCAGATTTTTTTCAACACCCTCATCAGAACCTGAGGAAGCATCCCATAGACTCATTAATTTCTTTTATGTTTTTGGAACCAAAACATGAATATTCATAACAAACTTCTACAAGCTCAAATTGTTATGAGATAAAATTCAGAGTTCTCAAGGCACCATTTGGTCCACTTCCTTCCAAAAGACAACTAAGCCCAGTCAGTCACCCAGGGGCAAAGCTCCTGGCAGAAAACAGACAAGTGGGACAACTCCCCAGGGCTTGACCATCAGCCTTGACTGGGACCCACGGGATGGATTAGCTAAAACACAAGCAAGTTCACCTGGAGAATGCCTGATGCAGAAAATGCCTTCCAAGCTGATCTTCCCTGGACTCAGAACCCAGGGAGAAATGATTCCAACAGATTTTGAAAATCAGAGTCTGCAAGAGTCTGCCCGAGTCCAAGGACACAGTGTCCCATCATAGGCCACAGAGAGATCCCCACGCAATGGCAGACCACACATGTCAGCCCTGATCTCGTGTGACAGGTGCCAGAAAGTTAGGCTTTCATTTTCCTGCCTAAAGAACTCCCAATAGCTGCTGCCTTTCTCTCTGCCCCCTTATTTACCAGCAGACCCAAGGGCTGGCCTCCTGCCCCACTCTCACTTCACACCCCAAAGCTCCCTGCTCACTGAATCCACTACCACGGCCTCACTTGTGACCTTTGTGTCCCGGCTTTCTCATCTCAATCATCAGTCTGCCTCTTCCCCAACTCCAACTCCTATCTTCTCTGCCTCCTGGGCTGCTCTAGCTGGTGGCCATATGCCTTGGTCACCAATACATACCGCACACACCTGCTCACATCCCCACCTCCTGGCCTTGTCTTGGCTGGGGAGTCAAGTGGCAGGCTGGAGCATGAGCAGAAATGTCATCTGTCACTTCTACCTGAAGTTTTATCAGCTAGTACATAAGCCCCATATTTTCTTCCCCTCCATGTCACCAGGACAAGATGGTAGAGAACCAAAAATACACATCTCAAATCATGGCTTAGAAAAAAATCACTGGATTTGTATTGAACTGTGAGAGAAATAAACTTCAAAGGTGAAAATTTACTGAGATTTTGGAGTCTATGGAAAAACAGTCAACATTAACTACCCAAATACACTGGCCTTCTCCGCCAGCAATTTCCTACTTATGCTCCAGCTCAAACGCCACCTCCCCTGGGACGTGCACCTTCAGTGCAACACCAGTTGCTCATTCCATCTCCTCTCTCATACATGTGTCACAACAACAGCCTCAGTCAACCGCCACACTGGTGCTTGCACTCTTGGTTCCCACATTTGTGTGTGCTTTCTTTTCCTTCCTTGTGTGTGCAGTGACCTGCCAACAGCCACCACCTAGTACCTATGATTTATTGAAGCAAAACCCAGAGCCTTCTTACCAGGCAGTGAGCAAATCCCAGATCAGCATTTTCTCCAGAGCCAAGATGAGGACACTGTGTTATGTCTAAGGGTAGGCAAGAAAAGCAAAAGACATTGACGTGTCTTTATCTTCAGATCCTTTGCTCCCTGTTACCTCCCATCTATATTGAAGGGCTGCTTCCACTTTAAAAAACAAAATCTTTTCAGGATCTATCATCTAAAACATTGTGTAGAAAGCAAACAGGGCACTGGTAGTGACAAGACTGTAGTAGAGCAGGCTCTTCCATGACCCTCAGAGCCTGCCCCTGCCCATGCTTGTTGAGCTGAGGTTCCTGAGCTAGTGATCAGGAACAATGCAGCCACACTGAGGTTATTTCTGGTATGAAAGAGTTGAAGCAAAAGTGTGACTGGCTCCTCAGGGACCCAGATGTGCAGATGACAAGCCAGCTGTGTGGAGTCACATCACCTCCACAAGGCTTCCAAAATCCAAAGCACAACACCATGTCACAGGTCAGAGAAATAGGATAGAGGGATCCGTTCTTTCAAAACATAGTGAATTGGCTTCAGTAATATGCGCTGTGAGCAGTTTCCCACTTCCCAAGCTCCTGAAGGAAATGATAAATCTCTGAATCTGAGCCCAAAGGAAGTGATGATCCATGATTAGGACGCCTCTTGGACAACTCCCACTGGCCAGCATCATCCCTGCTGCAGCTGTGGCTTTGCCATGGACTGTAAGTCAGTCCACTCAATATACATGACATGTAGTCTGATAGCTAGTTTTTTCAAACAAATATCCACAAAAGCTGTGGCAAACACAGGGGCCATGCCCATGGCCTTAGGACTGGGGTTTCTAGGACACAATTCCAGTAGGGTGTTCAGGGCAGCACAGGAAACAGGGTAAACTTGACAGTGTCCCCAAGGCTGGGCTCCAGAAACAGTAGACAGGATAAGGAAAAAGAGTTGAGATAAGTTCAAGGGAGTTGAGACTGTGCATTTTGATGTTAAAAAAAGCATCACAAGTGGTAGACAGGAGGTACATCCAAAACAAGAAACTTACAGTCCTAGGTACATAGGAAATTGTTCCTGGCTGGCACATGTTTAGGTCACATACTGTGAACAACAATGAGTGATTCTCCCAAATTCCATCTGCTGTACCAAACACACATTGAAAGCAAGAAATAGAATTGAAACAGCACTGCCGGTAACTCACCTTGTACAAAAATCCTGTTCCAATAGGTTTTCCCAACCTGATTGCCTCCAAGAAAAACGAGGTTGAACAAGATCAGCATCGAAGTGGAACAAGACGCCAGGGCAGCGTGAAGCCGGCAGCGAGCTTGTGGGGAAAGGTGTCGGGCCTGCAAGAAAAATGGCAAGAAGGATTTCATCACAAGGATGGGATGAAGGGAGTCCAAGGCATCGCTTGTGCCAGCCCAAAAATGTCTTTCCCAGCCCTGAGCTGGGTTACTCCTAAAACAGCTCTCACAACTTGTGTTACTGCAGCAAGTTCATTTTGGCTAAGGACTGTACCTGTGAGGTTAACTTTGCCTCCCACGCTGCATAGTGCAACTACTATAGCTTAGCAGCCCTCACACCCTGCCCTTGGAGACACTGTGGATGTTTTCTGCATATAAATCTGTAAGTGCTCTCTGCAATAGCTAGTAAAACATCTCCATTTAAAGATCAGAATAATCAGAGGTCAAGGTCAGAATGATCTTCTGGGCCAGTTAAACTGACCCTAGAGAGCCTTCCAACCACCCCATAAACCTTCTGGATGACTAGGAGGAATCCACAATGAGGGTGCAGGAGAATGCACATGAGCCACCCTGCTGCTGTACTTAAACTCAGGACAGACCTTTGAATGACAGTACAGTGCTGCACCCTGGAAGCACTAGAGGCTAGAGGAGTGTTTTCCAGCGATCATGATAAAAGACATGCTGCTACTTTCTTGCCCCCTCCTACTTTCACTATTTCTTTAGAGATCTTGTAAAGCAAACAAAATCATTATTCCTCATCAGTGACCATTCTGGTGGCTCCTCCTGAGTAATGTCACGGTGTGTATCTACAGTGTGTGAACCCTCAGTGTGTCCCCAGGACTGCACTTTCAGAATGAAAACCAGGCACAGCACCTCAGCCCTTGCTTAATCCAGTGGTTGGTGAGTTGTTCAGGTCCAGATGTGCCCCAGGAAAGGGCTCTGGCTGGTCGCCGTCTTGGAGAGAGGCCAACTGAGAACTCTGAGCAGCAGCTAGTCTACTCCAGTTCATGGCTCCTGGTGTCAGAGTGAGGTGGAGGTGAGCTCAGGTTAGCAAGAGGTCAAGTATCTGAGCTTCAGTCAGCAGGGAGCCAAGTTTAAACTGGCAAGTGGCACAGAATGCTGCAGGCTGAATAAGCCAGAAATCTGCCTGAACATCAGTGGAACTAAAGATGCAGGTTTGCCTGTACTATTCAGCACTCCATTGTAAGTCTACAACTGGTTTACTGGAATTAACCAACATGTGTCTGGGCTCTATTTGGCCACGATGTCTACCAGTGATAGCAGAGACACACTCTGATATACAATTAAGTGAGGCATATAGAACTGTAATTAGCCTTGGTCAAAAATCTACATCTAAGCATTAACTGTCAAGATTCAAAGAAATCAATACAAGAACAGATTATTAAAAGGTGACAGAGAAGAGAAACAAGTCACCCATAAAGGAAAGCCCATGAGAATAAGACTTCTGAATATAAATCAGAAACAGACTTCTTAAGAACAGCATGGAGTGAAGTATTTAAATCCCTAAAAGAAAACCTCCAGCCGAGACTGGTGTACCCTGCAAAACTATCTTTCAAAACAGATAGAAAAATAAGATATTCCATGCCAAAGAACACTTGAAGAAATTCATGACCACCAAGCTAGCATTCCAAAATATTCTGAAGGATATCACTCTTCTTCAGCTTTCACATGCTGAAGATTAAAACTAGATCAATGTCTTTCACTATACACTAAAATAAAACTGAAATAGATCAAAGATCTAAATATTAAAATAGAAACATGAAATCTGCTGGAAGATAAAATAGGTAAAACTCCTAAACATATTGGTGTAGGCAAAGATTTTATGACCAGAATCCTGAGCACACAAGAAGTATCACCAAGAATCAGCTGAGATCTCATCTGGTTAAAAAGCTTTTGTGCAGCCAAAGAAACCACCAACAGAGTGAAGAGACAACATGTAGAGTGGGGCAAACTGCCAGCGGTCCCTCAAAGTATTAATATCTAGAATACATAAAGAATTCAAAGGGCCAGCGAGATAGCTCAGTCAACAAAGCACCTGCATAGTCAAGTATAGGGACCAGGGTTCCTTCCCTGGCACTGTACGTTGTGCTGGCCCCGCCCCCAGGTGCACTGAGCTGGTGACTGGGTCTGGGTGTGGTGGCTCACACCTGTAGATCCCATAGCTGGGGAGGCTGAAAACAGGAGGATCACTATGAGTCTGAGCTGCATAGTGAGACCCTGTATACAATACATTTTTTTAAAAAAGGGAAGTCAAAAAAATTCAGATCTCTGAAATCTAAAGACCCAAATGAAAATGGGCAGTGAAAATAGATGCTTCTCAGATGAAGACATAAAACTGGGCAAATAAATCAATGAAAAAATATCAGCATAACTGGTCATCCAAGAGATGCAAATTAAAACAGTGCTGAGATTCTATCTTGCCCCAGAAAAAGTGATTATTACCAAGAAATCAACCAATAACTAATGCTGGTCAGGCTATAGGGAGAAAGGAACCTTTTCCCACTGTTGGTGGAAGTGATTGGTGCAGTGGAAATCAGTGTGGAAATTCCTGAAAAAAACCTAATACTAGAGGTTCCATTTGACCAAGCTCCATCTTGGTATCTTCCTGAAAGAACTAAAAACATTATGCCACAATGGTAATAGCCAAATCTTGAAAACAGTCCAAATATTCAGCAACCAATGAATAAAGATATGGTTTTGCATAATGAAGTACTATTCTGCTATAAAGAAGGATAAGTCTGAGATATTTTTCACTAAATGGATGCACCTTGAGACCAAATTCATATATGATTCAGGGTCTTGCTACACAGTTCAGACTCATAGTGATCCTCCTGTCTTAGCCTCCCGAGCACTGGGATTATAGGCATGCACCACCATGCCCAGTTCTGGGGCTGGAACAGCACACCCAGGGTTCCAGGGCCAGCACAATATGCAGTACCTGGGACTGAGCTCAGGACCTTGTGCTTCCCAGGCAGGCATTTATGCCACTGAGCTATCTTCCCGGCCTGCCAAATTATTAAATAAATTGAACACAGATGTTTAAATGCTTTATTTTTTTCTCTGCTGTGAGAAACTGAAAGTGTAAGCAAGGTCCAAAATGTATAACAGATATTGAGAAATGAGAGAAAATGTTCAAATGGGAGGCAGATTAATAGAGGGAGAAGAGAGAAAGAGAGGAGTAAGAAAAAAGAGAACAAAAGAAAAAATGGAAACAAAGCTTTTGTAAACAAGAGGGGAAAGGGGGTTCCTGGAGGGAGATGGTTGGAATAAAAAGAAGCAAGATATATCATGCACAGGCTCAAGTTCCCTATAAGGAATGTGATCGTTATGTATATCTAAAATGTACCAACCAAATTTTAGAGAGACTATGGGTTACCACAACTGGCATAAGTGTGTCTGCAGAATTCCCTCCAGGGGCCAGGGCCACTGCACAGACATCTGACTTCCTAGGAACCCAGCGAGTCAGACCCTTAGCCTCGGTCCTAATCCTGGGCCATGGCTGCTCCAACCTGACATCCGGGGAAGGGGATTCAAGTTTCCTGGCCTTTCCTGAATCAGTGCCAGCAGCAGAGCATGTGCAGGGCTGCTTAAGTCAAGGCTTGTCCTTTTATGGGAGATGATTACAATTATTTTGAAAATCTACAGAGAGATACCCAGAAGACGCTTTCTTTTCATGGGATTGCTCAGCAAGGCTGTGACACAGTTACCTGGTACGGGGAAGGGTCTATCCACAGGAGGAGGCTCAGCTGGGTGAGTAGGGTAGGCAGAGCAGGGAGGGGAGGCTGAGCCACGGCTCACACAGCTCTCCTGTGAGTCCTGTGATCACCCCAGGACCCCTCAGAGTTACAGTCCAGCACACTTCCAGTTCTTCTTAGGAAGACAAAGGCCAAAACAACAGCAACCGTGAGGGAGGCTCTCATCTCAGAGGAAGGAGGAGACATCTGAGGTCTGAATGACCCAATACAGTTCAATTTCCAGACCTGGCTGTTTCCTTTTCACTTGCTCATTTTAATAAGAAGGAATGTTAAAGCTACAGGCTGTTAGATTCCATAAAATGAAACTGTTTAAAGGGGAAATCAATGAGTTCAGAAGCAAATCTTAATTCTCCCCCCTCAAAAAGCATGTGGGAGACAAAATTAATGATAAACAATAAAATCATAAAACCTACTTTTCATAGCTGCATCCCCAGAGAAAAGTGGCTAGACCAATACACAGCAAAGCCAACAAGCTTGCCTTTTCTTATCCTGAATTGATGTGAACAGGACATGCTAGATCTCAAGGAAGGAAAGGAAGATTCATATGGAGAGCTCACAAGAAGGTAACAAAGGGCCTGTTACCCACTGGACACAGCCCAAGCCCCACTGGGGATGCCCGACACAGGTGGTACCAACCTCTCTAGAGCCTAGGTTTGTCAACTAATAATAAATAGAATAACCATAACAGTATACTATAATAAATGTAAGTCAATGTGGTCTCTCTAAATAATTTCGTCTCCTCTACCTACTCTTACGACAGTGATGGTGAGAGATGACACAGTCCTAGGGCTAAGGTAATGAGATGCAAGGAGGTGCATAGACACTGGCTGTGACATTAGGCTGCCAGGTAAGGATGGCTGCACTCCAAGATGGTGACCAGGTGACCAACCTGACAGGCAGTCCACCAAGCTACTTGGAACTGCAAGCAACCTACAAGTAGCAATTATTTCTGGAATTTTTTATATGATATTTTCTTTTTTGTTTGTTTAGGGTTTTTTTTTTGTGCCAGGATTCAAACTCAGGACCTTGTCCTTGCCAGGCAGACACTTGTGCTACTAGGCTATATCCCCAGCCCCTCACGTGATACTTTTTTGACTGCCATTGACTAAAGGTAACCAAAGCTGTAGAAAGTACAAGGTAACTGAGGTAAGGCTATAATTAATAGGGAAGACATGAAAGTTTTAACTGCCACCATCTTCTCTTTAAATTCGCTAGACACACTGCACAAGGCAACAGTTTTGACATTATGAAGTTCCACAGTTGGAACCAAGGTCTTTCATTTATTTTTAGGAGGCTGGGAGGAAATAACACATGTAGGGAGTCCAG